TTGTCTTTGATTTTGTGGAATTTGCGTGATTTTAAAAATGGGTAAAAAAACATTATACTAATTAGTTTGTTAGGATTGTGATTATATGGAAGTTAAAATAAAATGAAATGTAACAAAAAAATTTGTTCGTGGTTTTTTCCTTTAAATGTTTGAATTTAAAAATCTAGTAACCAAATTTACATTATATCACGTAAGGAATAAAATAAATAATAAATATTTATTAAAGAGATAAATCAATAATATTTATCACTTAGATAATAAATAATGAATATTTACATGTAAAAAAATAAATAATAATATATTTAAAAATATAAGTCAGAATTTCAAATAAAGTAAAAGGAGGGATAACTCATTTTTTAAAAAAAGTTTCTCAATATTTAATATATTGATAAGTATCTCCATAAAATAATCATACCATTTTAATTTTAAAAAAATTGGCAAGTTTGTTAGAGAGATAAATCCGGTTAGACAAATGATTAATTTGTTAAGATATTATATTAATTGTATCATAAAAAATCGGTTAGATAATGTAGATAAAAAAATATAATACTAATTAGTTTGTTAGAAATGTGATAATGAAAACCAAGATAAAATGAATTACCCAAAAAAATTGTTTAGAATCTTTTCCTTTAAATGTTTGAATTTACAAATTTAATACCGAAATTCTATTATATCACATAAGAAAAAAATAAATAATAAACGTTTATTAATATATTAAAATATGTAATTTTGAATTTCATATAAAGTAAAAGGTACGCTTATTCAAATTTATTTTTAAAATAAAAGTTATGATAAACATTTATTGATTCTCTAAATATATTAATAAAATAAAAATATAATTTTAAACAAATTTTGAAACAACCAAAAAAATCGGATTGATTGGCATAAAAAAAGGAAGTGAAATCGGATTTGAATGCTAAAATCAGAACATCTTACCAAATTGAATGCTAAAAGATTCGATTTGATTGGTTACCTAATTGCATGGGCTGAAAAATTTCAAAAAAAAATTTTACGAATTGAAGAAGCGGGAAAAACACTATATTGAAGCGGAAAAACGAAATGATTTTTTTCGAATTGTTCAAATTTTTTTCGAATTGTTCAAATAATTTTTCTTCTCCGTATTATATAGTAATAGATACATCGTAATTCCCGCTCAATAATCCAAAATGTCTTGCTTCCGAGTCCGGTTCGCATCAGTCATCCTCGCCACTGCTATAGCTGCCCAACCAGCATACGCATGCGAGCGTGCGCGTTGATTTTGCTTTTATATGAAATCTTTGTTTGAGTTTATTCTCTGTTGATGAATTGATGTTAAATTCCTAATTTCTCTATTGAGGCTTATCTTGATATTTTGAATTGCAATCCAAATTTTTTGTATTTATGGTGCGGTTAATTGTTGACATCTAATCCTCTTAATGCTATGTAATTAAACCTGAGACACTTCTTTTTTCAGTCAACATAAAAAAAAATGATACCAAAAATTTCAGTTGGATTTTATTCATTATTGTAGTACAATTCATTTTGTAATTTTTTGAACTTCAATTTTTGGTTATTTTCAGTTCAATTTCGATTTTATTCATTATCGTGGTACATTTCATTTTGTAATTCGTGGAACTTCAATTTTTGGTTATTTTCAGTTCAATTTTTTGCACCAAACTACATCGTTTCTCAGCCCTACACAGGATTACGAAGCATAAAAATTCGACCCATAAAATTATGAAGCAATAGAAGTGGAAGAACATGATCAAGAAACTGTCTTTATGCATAACGAACAGTAAGATTATGATGCACAAGAAATTGACTTATAAATTTAGAAAACTCTGCATAATCTATAATTTATATATAGGGGGTAAATGTCCAAAATTAGGTCTTGCCATCCACTGTTACATAGTAGTACACCTAATTTAGTTTCTTTGGGTTCAGACTCACTAGAAAGAAAGTGAGAACACTATTGATCCTCTTTTTTAAAAAAGA